TATCGTTTCATTTATTTTGGTTTTGTTATTTTCTCTTTTAAACTGATTGGCCTAGTTTGCGTGAGTGCATGGATCACATAAATACGATGCGTTGAGCCATTAACGCACATGTTAGCGAATCTAATCTCGCCATCTCGACGACCTCTTCTGATCTGCCCCACTAGCTTTCAGAGCAAGAGAGAGAGGCACAGAGACACACAGAGAGAGAGAGAGAGAGAGAGAGAGAGAGAGAGAGAGAGAGAGAGAGAAAGAGAGAGAGAGAGAGCAGATTACAGCCATCTCTCATGTCAGGCTCTGTCACTTCCGTGACGTGTCAACCCGCACAGCTTACCTGTCGCCACACGCACACACAGCGACGTCATGGCTTTATTGCTCTGTGATTAGCTGTTGAACAGATTTCCCCCTCATAATCCAGAATGAAACGCAGCGAAACTTCTTGCGTGAAGAGCAATACGAGATTAAAAAAGAAAGAAGAGAATATTAAACAAAAGAATCCTTCCTTTGAGATTTGAAGCTCTTCCTCATTATCGCTTTTTCTTTTTTTTTCTCATTTAAGACATTATCAAAGTCACCGCACCCTAAAACAAATAAGAGAATGATATCCTTATAGCGGGAGATGGATAACTCGGCAAAAGTATACATTAGAATCCCCATGTTCTATTAGCTTATTAATATGGTAAACACAATATTGTCTTATTGCTGTTTGTTTATTGTTTATAGTTCTCCGAGTTTTTGGTAAGGGTGGGGGCGTGTAGACCCGTGATGGTCAGTTGAGTGTAAACATAATTTAACTTTTACATCGACCCAAACTAACCAATTTAGGAGGCTCCTGGCTGTTTCTATAGTCCGGACAGCACCAAATGAACAACGTGTCGGCCTCATTACACCGAATCTAAGGGGCGAATCTCTCTGATTTTTTGCATGCACATCTGCATTCTAAAAGACCTATAAAATCTCGACTTTCGAGTGTATGTGACAAAAATAAAGAAGTGCTGTCTTTATAATCATTAGTAATTAATGGCTCATTAAACTCAATACCGCACACTTTTTTATAACAAGCACGGTACTATGTTAAAACCATAACAATACAGAGTGTCGTTGCATGGGTTAAGCCAGAAAGTTCAGGGGGTGGGGGTGGGGGGGGGGGGAAAAAAGAGATACAGTTTGGTCAAACCCAAAAACGGGGGTCAACAGAGTGATAAATCTGAAGCGCAAATGGGCGTGTCGCCTTCTGTGGTCAAAGCCAACCAGGGAAGAGAGGTGTACAGCACCCAAGCACAAAGACTGCGATACACGGTGACAGGTTTGGTGAAACAGACGCTGAAATCGAACTTACGTTTTTGCGTGCTGCGGTGACGTGAAAAGCTTAACCGTTTCACCGCAGACACTAGCCAGTCTATTGTGCGGTTAAAATTTCATTGCGCAACTTATTGTCAAATATCTCCTATATTATCTAACAAAAACTGTCCAGCTTTTGTTCAGCGACTTGTACCAATTAATACTAACAGGTCAAAATTTTTGTAAACACCTGTTAGCTCTATTCTAAAATATCTTAATAAAAACTAATATTAAAAATCCCAGTGGATGGTTTCTACAGATTTTATGAGGTTTACAGCTGGGACAATATCGCTTTTACAAGCTAGTCTGTCATTTTTTTCTAATCGCGAGATTATGTTCATTGAACGCTTGTTTGAACGTTTAGTGCGTGAAAAAAGTGTTCACTATAAAATGAGTTCCTTGCAACTAGTTTTGCCACTAAAAGTGTCCGAGTGTCATTGGTGAACTATGACGTAGGTCATAATATGCGTACGCAAAATGTGTGTGAGAAGCGGGAAGTGCTGTGAACAATTCCATTTTCCGCGTGGAGGAGAGTTGTAGTATTTTATATAAATTTACGAAGATAAGTTTTTTTGTTAAGCCTCGGTTGTTGTGGGAAAAAATATGATAAAGTAAAGACAAATTGCTGTTCGAAGTATGGGTGACTTTGATCCTCCCATTTTAAAGATATTTGAGGATAAGTTACACCACGAATTTTTGACCGCTGCACTATTATAAGTGTGGTGTGTTATACTATCTAACCCTCGTATAATACAGTTATCATTACTGTCTTTGTGATCTTCTGTGGTCAGATTAACTGCAGGATAAATCAAACCGATCACATGTCTCGCCAGACCAAGTTTGGGCTTGATTTTGGAGGCGAGAAATTAACTCATCAAAGTGATCCATGAAACACGGCGGGACCTAGATTACAGTCAGTCGGACGGCAATCATGCGGCCAGCCGGATTTCGTACGCTAGTTAGTTGTACTTTGGGCCAAAAGTCATTGTGCTTGAACTGGTTCTTAACTGCTGCTTGTTTGGCCTTCTGACATCCTGAAAACAACGATAAATGCCGCAATTGCAGTCAGGAGTCGGGAACAAAAATCATAATAATTATGTGATTCGACTGTATACCATTAATATTTCTTCTTCTGTTATCATTCTATGTTTGCAAACATAACAATTATTATTTCCTTTCAGCTGCAACATGCAATCCCGGGGTAGTTTCTTAGTGATTGGCTGTGAACGTTTTGCTTTGCCATGGGCACGATTTAGATTATTAGGAGGCGGAATTCTTCACTCCTGCCTGCCAAGCCAACAAGGACTGAGTGCGGTGCAATAATAATAATATATCCCAGGGGTAAGATGGAAGTAATAAACATGTAGCTAGACTCCTGTCCTCCTCGTGGCAATCGTTCAGATCAAGTCTTTTGCACGGCAGCGGTGGTAGCTGAAAACTTTCACCGTGATCAACCAGTCATTCTTTTTTCTTAAAAAAAAATTTTTTTAGGGGGGGGGGGGGGGGGTCGTGTTTTACGGCGCTCGCAACTGCACAAGGTCATATTATGAGCGCGCAGGACACATCAAACATTTTCATAGGTTGGAAATTTTGAATTTTGCCCGGGTGGCGGCCGAAGCCTAATCTTATCGATTTTAGACCACCAAGGGAACTTTAACGTGCAGTCACATTCGGCGTAAAACGATTATAATGTCCTGCAAGTTGGAACACGTATCTGCTCTCACATTTCTTCTTATGTCTCGGACATCGACGAATGGCCTGCACACGTTGATAATAATATGACCGGACGCACGTACTCCTGTAGTATGTCTGGAATCTTTTGTTGTTGTTGTTGTTTTCTTTTTTTGTCTGATCATGGAGCGTTTGGAAAATGTGATTTTGATTAGAGAGGTTACAACATTACATTCGTTTGCAATTAGGACTAGAGCAACAACAGAGCACTAGGTATGCTCCCAACTAACGCAATCTTTGAGATTGTATGATTGAAAAGCTGTAACTTCTAGATTACTCTGGCAAAACAATTATGACATTTATAAATCCCCTTTTCATCTATGTGACTTCAGAGCGTATAAACGTTTATCTGTGTCTGTGTGTGTGTGTGTGTGTGAGAGAGAGAGAGAGAGAGAGAGAGAGAGAGAGAGAGAGAGAGAGAGAGAGAGAGAGAGAGAGAGAGAGTGAGGAGGGGGGGGGAGGGAGCGTGCGGAATATTTGAATGAATCAGAAAAAAGAAGTGTCTAAGTCACAGTCACATTTCAAATGACGTCACATTACAGGGGAGACTAGACAACATAGCATTCGATTAAAATCGCAACAAGGTTTTACATCAGAGTTTTAGCCTTTACAAACTACCAAAAGTAAGTAATAATATTATGCTTAAGTCCAGCTGCTTCCTTCATCATTTTTTTCTAGAAACATTAATAAACTAAATTTGACCCTCGTTTTTTTTTTATCCCTTCAATTTTCTCCATTAAATACGCTGGCCATGAGGTAAAGTACTTCTCCCTTAAAACATTGAACTTCGAGCGAAGAAAAACAAACATGAATGACCAAAAGTAGCACTAGACAATATCTAAAGAAAACACCTAAGCGCCATCTGAACGCCAATAACAAAAATGCCCCCTTCAGCTCAAAGTGACGCAGAATTATCAAGTTTTGCAGAGAATCAGAATGAAACTGAACGCTTCTTTTGCTCAGACAGTAAGGCATCAGGTCTAGCTACATTTGGTTAGATCTGGGTTCAAATCTGTTTTACAGGCTTAATCAGTTAGTATGGTCTAAACACTCTCTTTTCAGCTAATCAAAGATACTACTACTACTACTGCTACTTCTACTACTACTACTACTACTACTACTACTACTACTACTACTACTACTACTACTCACCATCATCCAGTGCCATATCTGCGACAAACGTTGGCGATCATGGTTCTCTATTAATTCCTTTGCTCGGATGCTCTTTAAAAAAATTACATTTCCCTAATCTTTCACTGTCACCCACTTGTTCAGGTTCCCTAATTAGGTTGCTCTTGGCCTACCCCTGCCTCGCTTGCCTTCCATTTTACCAATGAGAGCTAGATGTTCAAGACCCTTTTGTCTATGCATGTGTCCCAAAATCTGCTTTTGTCGTTTCCTGATTGTTTTTAACAGTGAGCGTGCCACGTGGGCTTCAACAAGCACTACCTCATTTGATTACTTTTGCTTCCACGATACTCTTAGCAGTCTCCTAAGAAACCACATTTCTGTTGCTTCTATTTTATTTTCACTGTCTTTAGTGATTGTCCAGCATTCACAGCCACATAGAAAGCTTGACCATACCCAGCATTTCAGAACTTAAAAATGTTGGTAGTCTTTGAGATGCTTCTATTTTTCTACTACCGTACAACTACTACAACTAAAATTAATAATAAATAGTATTTATAAAACGTATATTTCCGCTTAACAGCAAGCTGTATGTCCTTTACAGACTACTTTATTACCCCAGCAGACTTGAAAGCATCCTGAAACAATCTCAACTTCATTTTTACAGGCGCTAAAACACTAATACTGAGTCACTTACAAGATCGTTCGCTGTCTGTGGAAGGAGTTGAACGAGATAAACCCTGCAGATACTAAAAGTGACATTAAACAACGAAATTAATCAAATCCTGATAAAAGTTACTCACCCCATAAACATAACGACTCCAACGCGCTCGATGTCTCTTTTGATGATCTCCCACGACTGCACGACGATCTCCCTACTCTGTGCCGGAAGATCCGGTCTGCTCATAGGTAGTCCGCGCATGCTCGAAGAAGACATCTCCTCCCCTTCCTCGTTGCATAAATAAATCCGCTTGTTTTTTTCTTTCACGCTTTCCGTGAGCCCAAGTTTTTTCTTCACACTCGTAGAACATGTTTGCCCCATGCTGCTATTTATTTATATGCTCTTGGCAATAAAAGCAGTATTGTTTTTGAGAAAACCAAAAAAAAGCGGATATCTCTGCTATTACTAAATCAACTCACAAATTGAAAACATTTAACCACTCCCACTTTAAAAAAAATCGTAACAATGAAATTAATAAGTGACAGGAATGAATGCCGTTTATATCCCTAGATCTACGACGGTCCGGGTAAAAGTCAGAATTGTCTCAGTATTTCAGTCCTATCATCATTGTTACCTACCAAAGATCAATGTTTAACTTTTTCTTAAGATTTATTTACCAGAACTCAGAGCGTTTCTATGAGTAGTAGGTATAATCTGTCGTAACGACAAAGACATAAAACTTCAAAATAAAGCCATGAGATGGTAGTCTACTGCGTCTCTGTCAAAACATTTTGTTATACCGATATAGTATAGAGTTTACTCAGCTTTGACATAAAGACAGATCACAACAAGACGTTGGAAATCTTTTGTGTTGATTTAGATGTTGATGCAAACATGCGTTAGAGAGATTCGATGTTTTTGTTTTCAAGTGAAGTTTTCTTGCTCTGTGGATAATCCCATGAATATTCATAGCTCATCAATAATTCAATTTCTTCTCAGCCAATCTAGATATGAATGTGGTTTTCCTCTCATACGCATCCTCATCCACAGCGTTTCGAAGAGTCGAGTAGAATTATTGTGAAGGTCTCCGGATCTTGAAAAAGAAAGAAAAAAGAACACACTGTCTGAGAAGAATAAACCGTTTCTTTGGCCATTCATTGAAAAAGCCAACCTTGGTAGTTGTAGGAAACGGTCAAGACCCCTTTCCTTCGTGAGATCCTGCCAGCTTGGGATCTGAAACGAGAGACACAGTCAGCAGTGAGCATACACATTGCAGTTACAATGAAACGGAGAAACATTTGAAGGATAATAAAATAAACATTAAGTGACAATGTACTTGATGTGTAACAATGTGGATGTATACTTGTTTTTGATAGCTGCTACACACTGGCATAACCAGCTTCTGTGGTGCAGCGGTCAGGCGCTTCGCTGTCGCTCGAAGGAGACCAGAGTTCGATTCTCGCGTGAAAGGACATAATTTATATTGAGTATTGCGGTCTTTCTGCTGGAGTGTTGTTATCCTTCTCAACCCGGGTTGACACTGACAGACAGGGTCGGGTAGCCCACTGTCCAAATTAAACGATCTAAATTGTGTCGCATTTTTTAGGGCGGGTAGGGGGGGGGGGAGCGTAAAAACTCCTTCATAAAAAAGATTGGCACACATATTAACCCATTAAACACATAACGAACTTACATCTAGAACACACATCCCCCCCAAAAAAACCCAAAAAACAACAACAAAAAACGAAAATAAAAACAAGAAGCGGGTGGAATCTCCAGAATGATCTGCTAAATAATATTGTCGATAGAGATGTTAAAAATAACTACATTAAACACATCCTGCCAAGAGCCCGAGCATGTGACTAAAGAGTGAGTTTACGTCCCTTTCGGCAATGTGAGGGTCTTTTATTAATCTGGACTTTCAATGTAAATATTTAATGTCATTCTCGTATACAACGAGCCAATTGGGTGGAGATCCTCGAAACGTTTGTAAGGCAAATCAAGTTTTAAAAACGCCCAGTACCGTAAAGGATTTGGGCTAAGGTCATCAGTCGATAGACCAACGCTATACCAACTAAGCTGACGGGTTTCCTAGGCCTCTGTGTAATTTTACTGTAATTATATCATCATCATCAACAGCAGCATTAGAGGTAGCAGCAGCAGTAGTAGTACCCCCACCACCAGCAGCAGCAGCAGCAGCAATAACAACAACAACAAAATCAATCCCCATTACTGCTTTCGACATGCCACTGTGCTGCCCTTTAAACGAAATAAAATCTTTAAACGTGTTTACAAGTTTGCCCCCATGAGGGCATCTACTGCCGTGCGGACACCACTCTGATCAAACTGCCGATGGAATTGTTCGAAGACAGACAAAACTCGAAAAACAAATTCAGACAATTGATGATCTGAGAATCTGAAACAGTTGTTTGTTGGCATCTATAAATAGAGCTGACTTTCTTAGTACTGAAAATACTGTGCAGCCAGTATCAAAGCGGGACAAGAGAAAGAATAACCATTAATTTATCAGAGTAATTCGCGTCACCGATACCGCATTTTATCTGTAAATAAAAGAAAATGACTATGTGCAAGCAATTAGCAATTTGAGGGATTTTTCGATCCCTTCGACAACAATGGACTCGTGGCACAGTCTTATTCACACCAGGTCTTTAACTATGCACCCACATGCATTAATCCACTATCTGCATTGATGTTACACCTCGCTGTGGAGTATTTCGAACGTCTGGGACAATTTCGAGAGAAAATAAAGAGGCTGTGATAACAATAAAGAATGCCACAATAGTAAAATCTCTTGCGCACAGAGACGATTCCACCTCAGCGACGCTGGAAAAATCAATAAGGCCTCAACCACCAGAACTTCAATAATCTCGCTATGTGTTCACATGACATACTTAAATTACATGTCTGTCTTTATCGATTTCAAATTCATTGAAAACCAAAACTAAAAGTCCAAAACACTAGTGCCTGTCTACGATCGTACGAAAAACAGACAACTTTATGTACTTGTTCTAATGTCAATCTCCAGGGGCGTACCTGTATAAAAAGGCGCTCTCGACAAGCATCGAATGGGAGCCCCTGCCCAATGCAATTATAATCCCATGGTCTTATTTTTTAACTTATTACTTTAAAAAATAGTTTTCTATAGTACGAGTATGTCTTTGAAGCTGTTTTCAACGAAAGTGGACCTATGTTCAATGACGTAAAAAGCAACAACCCAAACACCTACATGAAAAGCTGGCAGAGCGACTCCAGCCTGCGGTTATGGAGTATGGTTAACAAACCTTCCTGCTCTCTGGGATTCTTTGTGAGACGAGACTTCCACGTTATGCCTATCCTTCTTTTTATTGTGTGTGCAGTTGCGCATATTTGCGCGCGCGCGCGCGCGCGCGCGCGTGTGTGTGTGTGTGTGTGTGTGTGTGTGTGTGTGTGTGTGTGTGTGTGTG